CGTTATGTAGTTGAAGGTTACTTTAGTAAAGTTTTGTGGTAGTTTGCTCAGATAGTTATGAGAAAGGGTTTGAGTGGGGTCTGTATTTGTCGTGAGTATCCCTGTTTTTAAAAGGGGGATCTGGTGTTTGTCCAATGTGGTCTATTAAGGAGTATTTTGTCTCGGTGATTCTTGTAGCTTTAGATTTTGCGGTAGCAACGGAGTTACTCATTTTTTTTTGTAAAATTCGTTACTTGTGGGCCCTGGTCGTGTAGTTGTTTATGTTGAAAAAACCCCGTTAGTAGTAGGTGGTCTTTATTCATGTGGCATCAGAGTCATGTTTTAGTTTTTCACTAAAGTGATAAATGTTTGACTGTGGTATCTGTAGATGTATTAACGAAAGGGGTTTTTTTGCAGGTCTTTTTTTTTTTAAAATTTTGGGCTAAATATATTCTCCATGTTTGTTCCTTGTGCAGATTATTGAAAATTGGGTTTGATTTGAATATAATAGGTGTTCCCCCCCCTTGCGGTCTGTTTCATTTGTGTATGGCCAGTACCCAGGAAGGGTTATAGATATCTGTAAATCAGGCTTAACCCAGGTTTCTGTGAGTGTATGATGATTTTTTAAAATTAAAGGGGAAACTGAGTAAGCTGTGGGGTCAAAATAATAAAATAATAATAATAAAAATAATAATAATAAAAAAAAATAATAATAATATATTATACATTATATAAAAATTATACATTATATATATATATTATATATATATATATAATATAAATAAAAATTATATAAAATATATATATATATTTTTATATATATATTATTATATACCCAAAATCCCGGTGCCTTCCCCCCTTTCATTTTACCTACGCCTACAAATTTCCCCCACATCACAACTGGCTCTTCCCATCCTAAAGATGTTTTTCCCTCCTTGCCCTATACACAAATCACGTTTCCCTATCTTCATAACATTTAAAAATTCCTCAAAATATTCCCCCCATCTTCCCAATACCTTAACTCTCCATTTAATAACCCCCCCCTCCTATTTTTAACTGACAAATCCATTTGTTCTCTAGTTAAGAAAGCCTAGAGAACAAATGGATTTGTCAGTTAAAAATAGGAGAGGAGAGTTATTAAATGGAGATTTAGAGGTATTGGGGAAGGGACGGAATTTTTGAGGAATTGTTAAATGTTGATAAAGATGGGGAAGCTGTGCTTTGTGTATAGGAAAAGGGGGAATAACATCTTGTAGGATTGGGGAAGAGCCAGTTGGGGTGGGGGGAAGTTCGTGAGGCAGTAGGTAAAATGAAAGGGGGTAAGGCACCCGGGTTTGATGGGATAAGATGAAATTTTTAAAAGCAGGGGGGGATATAGTTTTGGAGTGGTTGGTGCAATTATTTAATAAATGTAAGAAGAGGGTAAGGGACCTAGGGATTGGCCAAAAAGCATGCATAGTTCCTTTGTATAAAGGCAAAGGGGATAAAAGAGAGTGCAAAAATTATGGGGGAAAGTCGTGAGTATACCTGGGTTAAAATGTATGGTAGAGTTATTATTGAAAGAATTTGAGTAAGACGGAGAATAGGATAGAGATGAACAAGGAGGTTTAGGAAAGGTAGGGGGTGTGTGGACCAGGGTTTTCAGTGAAAAATAAAAGTGAACAGTATTTAGATAAGGCTAAAGAGGGCTTTGTGGCATTTTTGGATTTGAAAGGCGTATGACGGGTGGAAGGGGGGCAATGTGGCAGATGTTGAAGTGTATGGTGAGGAGGTAGGTTACTGAAAGCGTGAAGAGTTTTTACGAGGATAGTGAGGCTAAGTTAGAGTATGTAGGAAAGAGGGGAAATTATTTCCCAGTAAAAGTAGGCCTTAGACAAGGGTGTGTATGCACCGTGGTTGTTTTAAAAATTTATAGATGGGGGGTTTTAAGAGAAAATAAATGCGAGGGTCTTGACAAGAGGCGTGGAGTTAAAAGATAAAAAATCCACACAAAGTGGGGGGGGTTTTCACAGTGCTCTTGCTGATGACCTGTGCTCTTGGGGGGATTCGAAGAGAAGTTGCGAGATTGGTGGATGAATTTGGTAGGGGGTTTCAAAAGAAGAAAAATTTAAAGGTGAATACAAAAGAGAAGGTTATGGGTAACAAAAAGATTAGGTGATGAAAAATTGAATATCAGATTGGAGGGGAGAGTAGGGGATGAATGTATTCGTATTTGGGGGTGGACGTGCAAACGGATGGGTTATGAAATGAGGGAATCATGAATTGATGAGGAAAAAAGGTGGGGTTTCACTTAGGGGTCGTGGAGACAAGAACTTTGTCCTTGGAGGCAAAAAAGGGAAGTATGAGAGTATATTTTTTCCCAAAGCTCTTTTTGGGTTTTGAAACATGGGGGATGAATGTTGGGAGGAGGGGAAGGCTGGAGGCGTGGAGATGTCATTCTGAGGCAAGGGGGGGTGTGAATTAATGCAAAAATTCGTAGTTTGGAAGTTAGGAGGAGGGGGCGGGGATTACCCAAAAATGTTGTCCCGGGGCTGAGGGAAAGGGGTTTTTGAGGTTTGGTTCGGGGAAAAGTAGAGAGAAGGAGCAAAAAAGAAGACTTCAAAAGTGTATCAGTCTTAGGGAAAGGGAAAGGGGGGTAGGGGTCGGCCCAGGAAAGGTTGGAGAGAGGGGGGTAAAGGGGGTTTTGTGTGCGAGGGGGTTGGACTTCTAGCAGGGATGCATGGGTGTTTATAGGATGAAGGAGCAAATGGTTTTTAAAACTTGGAGTGCTTTGGGGTGGGCAAAGTAACATTTATGAAGGGGTTCAGGGAAACTGGCAGGCCGGGACTTTAGTCCCGGAGAGGGGAATACAGTGCCCGCATTGAAGGAGGGGTGTTAATTTGCAGTTTTAAAAAAAGTAGTGTAAAGCACCCCTTTTGGCAAGACAGTGATGGAGTGAAAAGATGGTGAAAGTTTTTTTTTTTTTCGGGGCCCCCCCCCGCCTTGGTGGGAAAAGGCCCGTGTGTAATAAAAAAAATATTTTTTATTTATACTATTAATATAAATATATATTTTATATATATATATCATATATAGTATCAATATATAAATATATATATATATTATATATATATTATATATATATATATATAATATATATATTATATAAAATTTTATATTTTATACCTGGATCCGGTTTGTTATATATATATATTTTTATATAATATATATATATATATTATATTATATATTATATATATTTTATTAATATATAAATTATAAAATATAATAATTTATATATGTATATATATTATATATATAAAAAATAATATATGTATATATATTTAAAATATATATTATTATATATATAAATTATATATTAATATATGTATATTATGTATTATATTATTATATAATATATTTTATAATGTATATATATTATATATATAATATATATATATATATATTAATTTTATATATTATATATATATAATTAATACATTTATTATAAAAATATATATATATATATATTTAAAAATATATTTTAAATATATATATATATATATATATATATATTATATATATATATAAAATATATATACTATATATATCCACATGGAGACAAAAAATTTAGAAGATTAATTTATCTGTATATTTCGACTCCTAGCTGGGGTCCTCTTCCGCTGAAGAGGACCCCAGGAGGAGGTCAAAATACACAGATAAATTATTCTAATTTCTGTCTCCATGTGGGTTATTATTAAGCATTGAACATTAATACGTTATATTATGATTAATCACGATTATTATTACTGATAAGAATTCATTCCACTTTAGTTATTTATAATGATGTATATGTATAGTTGCAACCTTGTATTCATAGGCTGGATTATTCATGCAATTTAGTATACATACTCACCAGTGAATCTGCATCAATGTTTAGGGAAAATAAAGTAAGGAAGATTAAATAATTTATCCGAGATGCTACTCATAACTAGGTCTGTTGTACTCACCTAGCTGAGGTTGCAGGGGTCGAGTCCTAGCTCCTGGCCCCGCCTCTTCACTGTGTTAGATATTGTTTGTTAACTCTTAAACTGTTCAAACAGATCTACGTTCACATGCGTAGCGCTCCAAAAGTAGATTGACTTTTTTTTTCATATTTTCAAATATATAAAAAAAACGTAGATCAAGTTTTTTTTACATGCTTTCATATTTAAAAAAAAAAAAGATGATGATCTACGTTTTTTTACATAGTTTCAAATGTTGAAAAAAAACGTAGATCTACGTTTCGACTGTTTAAGGGTTAAAGGTACTTGTTTATAGTGTGTGTGCACGTGCATGTGTGTGTGCGTGTACGTCTGCGTGTGTGTGTGCGCGCGTGTGCAAGGTTTTTTTCACATGCTCTCATATTTAAAAAAAAAAAAAGATCTACGTTTGGACAGTTTAAGGGTAAAAGGTACTTGTTGATAGTGTGTGTGTGCATGTGTGCGTGCATGTATGTCTGCATGTGTGTGTGTGGTGTGTGTGTGTGTGTGTGTGTGTGTGTGTGTGGTGTGTGTGTGTGTGTGTGTGTGTGTGTGTGTGTGTGTGTGCATGTGTGCGTGCATGTGTGTGTGTGTGTGTGTGTGTGTGTGTGTGTGTGTGTGTGTGTGTGTGTGTGGTGTGTGTGTGTGTGTGTGTGTGTGTGTGTGCATGTGTGCGTGCATGTATGTCTGCATGTGTGTGTGTGTGTTTAACTCACAATTATAACAAGGAGTGTTAATATTGCTATTTTTAAGCACATATGTGGGAATTAATATTTTAAATAGAATTGGCTGGTATTGGCTGATTTTTTACCAATACCAATACCATGAAAATGGCCAATACTGATACTTCGGCACATCCCTAGACTAAATTAACAATAATAAACCCCCGAAAAGAAGTCAAAGTGACTTATTTCTACTGGGATGTGACCAACCACTTAGTTTGTTCTTCACTATGGTACTGACTAATATATTTAGTTCTCTATGGCTAATTCGGATAATGAGTGACCTTCTTCTCCCCAGCTGAGGAACTTCCGAGCCATGATGAACGATCATCACGAACCTTTGGTTAACAACTTCCGTCCACCTCAGCCACTGAACAATCGCAAGGTAGGAGTTCCCTGCAGGCGGAGGCTCTGCAGGTGCAGGAAACCTACACCTGGAGGCCTATACCAGGGGGAGGTGCTGATGCCTACACCAGGATACTAGCAATGTCGCACATGCACACACAGTTGCAACTACCTGCAGTAGAAATAAAAGCTTGCACAGCCTTGCATTTTAAGTTGTAGTTAGTTTAACATAGATGCTTATAACTGCTTCTACCAGAGTCAACCTCTACATTAACATTTCTCTAGCTACAGGCACTCTTCGACTTACAATGGGGTTACGTTCCAATTAAAAATCCAACTTAAGTTGTAAATATCGTACATATGTGATAAATAAATACCTAGTGTCACTTAAGTAAATAAACAAACAATTACTGTAACTAAATACCATTACTGAAAAGTAAATATATGAAGACAACTTTATTCCATCAATAAATACACAGTACTGTAGAGTACAAAGAAAACTTTTGCAGTTATCGCAGCATCGACAAGTTGAAACATAAGTCAAACCCCGGTAAGACGACGATCACTTGTGCTTACACTTGAGGCTCTTCATACAATAACACACACATACATAACTTATACAAGTTCATTCATACATGGAGTTTATATGTAATGAAACACTGATAGACAAAAAACGAAAGATACTAGTATACAGTGGACCCCCGCTTTACGATCAGTTCCCAATGCAACCAATTATGTAAGTGTATTTATGTAAGTGCGTTTGTACGTGTATGTTTGGGGGTCTGAAATGGACTAATCTAATTCACAATATTCCTTATGGGAACAAATTCTGTCCTTACTGGCACCTGAACATACTTCTGGAATGAAATAATATCGCAAACCGGGGTCCACTGTATAATGAACCTCGGTCAAATTAATCCTAGATGCTTATTACTTATATGATTCCATTCATACATTAACACACATGTATCTACAACAACCAATGTGTGAAAAAATTGTGAATTTCCAAGTGCTTCTGTGATTTCTCCCATTAACAAGGAGCTGTAAAAATAATACGACAGCAGAAGACTTCTGCTGCCAGGAGCTGTGACTCAACCCCTGCAGCCACATATAGGTGAGTACACACACACACACACACACACACACAGTAGCAACCAGTGAAGAGGTGGGGCCTGGAGCTATGACTCGACCCCTGTAACCACAATTAAATGAGTACATACCTACACGTGACTCTGGCAGACAGAATATTGCACAATTACTGATACCAAGATCACAAGAAATGCATGTTGCAGTACAAGCATGATAATGCCCAGCCTGCTATCCACCAGTACCCAGCCTGATACCAATATCCAGCTTGCTATCCACCAGTGCCCAGCTTGATATCAATATCCAGCCTGCTATCCACCAGTGCCCAGCCTGATGCCAATATCCAGCCTGCTATCCACCAGTGCCCAGCTTGATATCAATATCCAGCCTGCTATCCACCAGTGCCCAGCCTGATGCCAATATCCAGCCTGCTATCCACCAGTGCCCAGCTTGATACCAATATCCGGCCTGCTATCCACCAGTGCCCAGCCTGATGCCAATATCCAGCCTGCTATCCACCAGTGCCCAGCTTGATATCAATATCCAGCCTGCTATCCACCAGTACCCAGCCTGATGCCAATATCCAGCCTGCTATCCACCAGTGCCCAGCTTGATATCAATATCCAGCCTGCTATCCACCAGTACCCAGCCTGATGCCAATATCCAGCCTGCTATCCACCAGTGCCCAACTTGATATCAATATCCAGCCTGCTATCCACCAGTGCCCAGCCTGATGCCAATATCCAGCCTGCTATCCACCAGTGCCCAGCCTAATACAAACATCCAGCCTGCTATCCAGCAGTGCCCAGCCTGATGCCAATATCCAGCCTGATATCCAGCACTGCCCAGCCTAGTATCTACCAATATCTTGCTTGAGACCTACCCTACTATTCATCAATATCCAGCCCAGTGTACTACCCAATTAATGCCCAGCCTACTATCCATCAATACCCAGCCTACAACCCCATCAATGCCCAGCTTATTACCCATTAATGCCCAACCTACTACCCATCAATGCCCAGCTTACTATCCATCAATCCCCAGCCTATTACCCATTAATGTCCAGCCTACTACCCATCAATGCCCAGCCTACTACCCATCAATGCCCAGCCTACTACCCATCAATGCCCAGCTTACTACCCATCAATGCCCAGCCTATTACCCATCAATGCCCAGCTTACTACCCATTAATGCCCAGTCTATTACCCATCAATACCCAGCCTACTACCTATCAATGTCCAGCCTACTACCCATCGGAACCCAGCCTACTACCCATCAATGCCCAGCTTACTACCCATCAGTGCCCAGCTTACTACCCATCAGTGCCCAGCTTACTACCCATCAGTGCCCAGCTTACTACCCATCAATGCCCAGCCTATTACCCATCAATGCCCAGCTTACTACCCATTAATGCCCAGTCTATTACCCATCAATACCCAGCCTACTACCTATCAATGTCCAGCCTACTACCCATCGGAACCCAGCCTACTACCCATCAATGCCCAGCTTACTACCCATCAGTGCCCAGCTTACTACCCATCAGTGCCCAGCTTACTACCCATCAGTGCCCAGCTTACTACCCATCAGTGCCCAGCTTACTACCAATCAATGCCCAGCCTACTACCCATCAATGCCCAGCTTACTATCCATCAATGCCCAGCTTACTACCCATCAGTGCCCAGCTTACTACCCATCAGTGCCCAGCTTACTACCCATCAGTGCCCAGCTTACTACCCATCAGTGCCCAGCCTACTACCCATCAATGCCCAGCTTACTACCCATCAATGCCCAGCCTACTACCCATCAATATGCAGCTTACTACCCATCAATGCCCAGCCTACTACCCATCAATGCCCAGCCTACTACCCATCAATACCCAGCTTACTACCCATCAATGCCCAGCCTACTACCCATCAATACCCAGCCTACTACCCATCAATGCCCAGCCTACTACCCATCAATGCCCAGCTTACTACCCATCAATGCCCAGCTTACTACCCATCAGTGCCCAGCTTACTACCCATCAATACCCAGCCTACTACCCATCAATGCCCAGCTTACTACCCATCAATGCCCAGCTTACTACCCATCAATACCCAGCCTACTACCCATCAGTGCCCAGCTTACTACCCATCAGTGCCCAGCTTACTACCCATCAATGCCCAGCCTACTACCCATCAATGCCCAGCCTACTACCATCATGCCAGCCTACTACCCATCAATGCCAGCCTACTACCCATCAATGCCCAGCCTACTACCAATCAATGCCAGCCTACTATCATCAATGCCCAGCCTACTACCCATCAATGCCCAGCCTACTACCATCAATGCCCAGCCTACTACCCATCAATGCCCAGCCTACTACCATCAATGCCCAGCCTACTACCCATCAATGCCCAGCCCTACTACCATCAATGCCCAGCCTACTACCCATCAATGCCCAGCCTACTACCCATCAATGCCCAGTCTACTACCATCAATGCCCAGCCTACTACCCATCAATGCCCAGCCTACTACCATCAATGCCCAGCCTACTACCCATCAATGCCCAGCCTACTACCATCAATGCCCAGCCTACTACCCATCAATGCCCAGCCTACTACCATCAATGCCCAGCCTACTACCCATCAATGCCCAGCCTACTACCCATCAATGCCCAGCCTACTACCCATCAATGCCCAGCCTACTACCATCAATGCCCAGCGCCTACTACCCATCAATGTCCAGCCTACTACAATCAATGCCCAGCCTACTACCCATCAATGCCCACCTACTACCATCAATGCCCAGCCTACTACCCATCAATGCCCAGCCTCAACCATCAATGCCCAGCCTACTAACCCATCAATGCCCAGCCTACTACCATCAATGCCCAGCCTACTACCCATCAATGCCCAACCTACTACCCATCAATGCCCAGCCTACACCCATCATGCCCAACCTACTACCCATCAATGCCCAGCCTACTACCCATCAATGCCCAGCCTACTACCCATCAATGCCCAGCCTACTACCCATCAATGCCCAACCTCTACCCATCAATGCCCAGCTACTACCCATCAATGCCCAGCCTTACTACCCATCAATGCCCAGCCTACTACCCATCAATGCCCAGCCTACTACCCATCAATGCCCAGCCTACTACCATCAATGCCCAGCCTACTACCCATCAATGCCCAGTCTACTACCATCAATGCCCAGCCTACTACCCATCAATGCCCAGCCTACTACCATCAATGCCCAGCCTACTACCCATCAATGCCCAGCCTACTACCCATCAATGCCCAGCCTACTACCATCAATGCCCAGCCTACTACCCATCAATGCCCAGCCTACTACCCATCAATGCCCAGCCTACTACCCATCAATGCCCAGCCTACTACCCATCAATGCCCAGCCTACTACCCATCAATGCCCAGCCTACTACCCATCAATGCCCAGCCTACTACCCATCAATGCCCAGCCTACTACCATCAATGCCCAGCCTACTACCCATCAATGCCCAGCCTACTACCATCAATGCCCAGCCTACTACCCATCAATGCCCAGCCTACTACCCATCAAGCCAACTACCTCAATGCCCAGCCTACTACCATCAATGCCCAGCCTACTACCATCATGCCCAGCCTACTAACCCATCAATGCCCAGCCTACTACCCATCAATGCCCAGCTACTACCCTCAATGCCCAGCCAACTACCATCAATGCCCAGCCTACTACCCATCAATGCCCAGCCTAACTACCCATCAATGCCCAGCCTACTACCCATCAATGCCCACCTACTACCTAATGCCAGCATACTACCATCAATGCCCACCTACTACCCATCAATGCCAGCCTACTACCATCAATGCCCAGCCTACTACCATCAATCCCAGCCTACTACCCATCAATGCCCAGCCTACTACCCATCAATGCCCAGCCTACTACCCATCAATGCCCAGCCTACTACCC